GCTCGGTGTGTTTATAGATTTGCTCATCTGGGTCAGAACCAGCACAAGGTGGAGAGACGTGACGATATGAAGAAATTAGACGCCGTCATCAGCCTGTGAGTGTGTGAGAAAATAAAAAGTGTATATACAGTATATATATATATATTAGGTCAAATGTGTGTATTTTAGATGTTTGTGTTTTGTGTGTGAGAGAGAGAGAGAGTGTGTGTGTTGTGTGTGTTGTGTGTGTGAGCGAGAGAGGGTGTGTGTGTGTGAGAGAGAGAGAGAGAGTGTGTGTGTGGTGTGTGTGTGTGTGAGAGAGAGAGAGAGAGTGTGTGTGTGTGTGTGTCTCCTGCGCGTCCTCTCTGGCCATGTGTGTGTGAGAGAGAGAGAGAGAGTGTGTGTGTGTGTGTGTCTCCTGCGCGTCAGGATTCAGCTCTCTGGCCCCGAGCAGTGGCCCCGTCGCGCCCATTAATTTTGGGGGGTTTGGTCTGGGCCCCGTGGCCCCTGTGTTCAGTTTTGGCAGTAGCCTCAGTGGAGCAGGTAGTCTGAGAGGTCGGAGGTCACCTCACTCATGATCAGCTCACATCACGTGCTCATTCGTGTGTTTAGTCCGTGACGCTCCGGTCGTGTGAATCCCGCTCTGTCCATCAGCTCATGTTCATCTCTGGTGTGTGTCCACATCTGTCCTGTCTTCCTCTCATGTGTGTGCGTGTGTGTGTGCTGCAGGTGCGTTCGGGGGGTTCGGCTCCACCTCCTCCGCCGGTGCCGGCACCAACTTCAATTTCTCCACACCGTCAAACACAGGTAGAGCTTTGATCCAGTCTGAGCTAAGCTGTGTTTGTGTGAGCGCGTCTGACAGGAAGTGTTTGACTCTCTGCAGGTGCCAGTCTCTTTGGAAACACTCAGAATAAGGGCTTCAGCTTCTCGTCCGGTCTGGGCTCCAGCGCACCGGCGGGGATGGGCTTTGGCGGCGCTCTGGGCAGCACTGGACTGGGCTTCGGAGGATTCGGTGGGATCCAGCCCGCTCAGAACCAACAAGGTGAGACTGGCATCACACTGAAACGGGCACTATTTTCTTCTTATGGATTTATGTAACACATTTACAATTATGAGAATAAGAAGTTCATTTTCAGTTGGGCCTAAAACACCTGATTCAGACGATCTCAGACCGGTTGTTCTAGTGCAGATCCAAGTGTGTTTGCAGTGTATATATATATATTTGACTGGACGAACCGAACTAAGAGAGAAAACGCAGCATGTTCAGAAACAAACACTGAATGAGCCAGGTGTGTGTGTGTGTTTGTAGGAGGCATGTTTAACCAGCAGGCGTCTCAGTCCAGTCAGCTCTTTAACACAGCCAGCGCTCTCTCTGCTCCATCGGTCCTCAACGACGAGCGCGACTCAATTCTGGCCCGATGGAACCAGCTGCAGGCCTTCTGGGGAGTAGGGAAGGGTTACTACAGCAGCAGCACACCGCCGGTGGAGTTCAGCCAGGAGAACCCCTTCTGCCGCTTCAAGGTCTGACCATGAGCTCACTCACTCGCTCATTCACTCGCTCACTCACTCGCTCACTCGCTCACTCACTCACTCACATACTCGCTCGCTCGCTCGCTCACTCACATACATCCTCGCTCACTCACTCACTCACATACATCCTCGCTCACTCACTCACTCATGTACTCGCTCACTCACTCACTCACTCACTCACTCACTCACTCACTCACGTACTCGCTCAGTCACTCACTCACGTACTCGCTCACTCACTCACTCACACACTTATATACACATGCACACACACACTTATATACACA